ACACGCGCGCGCGCGCGCGCGCGCGTGTGTGTGTGTGTGTATGTGTGCGCGTGTGTGTGTTAAATAATATACGCTCCATTTATATAAATTTTAAAAGACAATTCTCGATAGACAAAGATTTTTATTTCTGTGATTATTAGTCACGCCTTTTACTCTTTTATGAAGAAAAGAGCATAATTGAATGAATAATTTACTTTTCTTGGAGTCATTATCTACTTTTACTATAACTTCAAGTTGCATTATTTAAAAAATTGAATGAAGTTATGATTACATTATCTCTTTTTATAATACATATTTGACTACGTATATTCTCTAAAGTCTTTCGAGTGGAATCTCCACTCTAAAGAGTGAAATTTGAGCCGGTCTTGAAAAAGGACGGCTCGATTTTCAATCTTTAAGAGTTTACTTTCCAGAGTGTAATAATTCACAATGGGCGGGTATTCATAGTCCGTTTTTATTTCAAGACTGTTTTAAGTAATGTCTTGAAACGCTAATAGGGCCCTCTGATTGGTTCGTAACTTACTTCTTAAGACTGTACTTAAGACGATCTCGAATATATAAGATCTGACTATGAGAATCTGACTATATCGGTCTATAAAAGTTTCAGAGAGTATAAAAGCAATTTCAATTTACACATTTATTATTTTCGGTATTATATTAGCCGAAATAGGATAATATTCCAATAACATTTGCGATAAGGTTTTTTTATTATACTCTTTCGGTATTTTCTAAAATCCAGATCGAGACGTTTAAGCAGGCCACGTTCGCTGACGAATTTAGTCTGGGAGCTACGAGGTGGAAGCGGCCTCGGCTGCACGAGACCTGAGACTCCGCCGCCCGCCACGACTGCACCGCTGCCACCGACTAAATGTGGGCCTCGTCTGGCTGTCACTGTCGTGGCACCGCGACGTGTCGGCACGCTCTACCTCTAACTCGTAAGTGGCAATTTTTTTTTAAAGCCTTTTTACACGCATTATTAATTTTTTAATTAATAAACTTCACGGGGAAATTTAATATCGTAATCGCGCAAACTTTTTCGTGATAAGATAAGTACGTAAGAGAGAGAGAGAGAGAGAGAGAGAGCAATTTATAAAATTGAAATTGTGAGTATGCTTTTGCGAAAAAAATACATCGCACAACTAATTATAAGAACAATTTCCGCTTTTGAGAAAAATCGTGACCAGTTTCTGCTCTCGAATTGAAACATTGCGTGCACGGTTGTTTTCTGTACGTCCTTTGCGCACAATCTTCGTTTCCCGTATTTCAGTCAGATGATATGCCATCGAGCGAGCGGTAAGACTATTTGTTGAACGGACATGCACGTCGCAATTAGTTTTATTGAGGGAACACCGGTTACGATGTAGTTATAACGTACTTTGTCCGGGAAGAAGGATTGAATCGTTAAATTCGTGGGATCGACCCAGGATCTTTTAACGGGGCATTTTACCGGGCGTTATAAAAGACACAGAGCTTTTCCGCTTCCCTGTTGCCATAAGACCTCATTCATTTAATCGTTCTCCCTCTCCGTCTCCGGCATCCGATCATAACGACGTCTAGAAAATGCACCTGTCCACATGGGCGATGCAGGAAGTTCCGCGATTACTGCCAATTATCCACGGAGAAATCCATTCTTAGGCATAATCGATTTGAATGCGATAGAATACGAAGAAGCTCGCAAACGTTCGAATCGGAGTACTTATTATGATTAATAACGTTATAATTGTTTTTTTCGCTCATGCTTTGTTAAAATAGGATTATTAAAGAATACAAAAATCCTATTTATTAAATTAGCATCTATATATCTTATCGCTCAAAGATGCTTTCAGCATGTGTTACGTTTTTGCTAACAATTGTATTTTTTTATATGTAAAATATGGAATTATGACGTGATATACTCTCGCACATGATTTTATTGCACATTTTCACGTAAATGTGCAATAAAATCATGAATTGTCGAAAAATAATTAAAAATGGAAACTATAAGTTTTTTAATTTGACAAATATAATGTAATCGATTGAAATTGAAATTTTGCTAGATATTAAACATTTAGATATATTATGATAATAATAAATATTCTATCAATAAAAAGAAAGGTATATAAACAATATTTTTGTAAAAATTAAATACAAATCTTTGATTAAGACATTTGAAAAATTTAGAAGAAAAAGAATATCAAGAGTTTTGTTTTTGTTATTAATATATAAATCTAAGGAGATTAGGCTTTGAGTTTCAGTTAAAAAAAAAAAAAAATGTGGTAACAAATTGAATAAATCTAATACGTGCAAACTATATTCATACTTTATTCTTTATATTACGAAATTTCCATTAATGGAGAGTGCGCTGCAACTTTTGAGCGGTAGTGTATATACCTATCAGGATTTAGCTAAAAAATTGATACGTGATTTTTTTGTGTCTGTCTTGAATAATTTTCTAATTCTAATTCTAAACTTCATTTATGGCTGAAAGTAATGCTAGCAAAGTTTTAACATGTAAATTGTCCATTCGACAGCGCGTTATAACAGATTCTTATGTCGTAAACGGGTATCGTCAAGCCGGTTAATATACGGTACCGACAGTATTGCACACGAACGAAGAGTGAGAAGCAGCGAGAAGATAATATCCACGGACGGTCGGCTTGCTCGTTTCTCCGTCCGTTAATCCGCCGATGAGAATCGACAGCGACAGCGAGAGATTGAAAACGTTTCCTCATCACGGGGCCCGGTTTTGCACGTATGCCGGGCGACGACGAGACGCTTACGGGAGGAAGTCGGGAATCACAAAACTTCCTGCTGTATACATCCGCAATCCAGCGCAGGTACCGGTTGGTATTCCCAAGCTGTGGAAATTAGCGAGGTCCGCACGGGTTAATCTGCTGTAGCCTAACTTCTCTCTCTCTCTCTCTCTCTCTCTCTCTCTCTCTCTCTCTCTCTCTCTCTCGCGTGTCGTTTAGTAGCGACTGGGTGCTTCGCCTCGCGAGAAGACGACTCGGTTGGAAGCCGCAAAGAGAGACAGGAGAGAAAGAAGAGATAGTTCAGCGGTGGACAGCCTCCGGGTATATAACGTCATCCTCGCTCGGTGCAGCGCTATAATAGCCCCGGTTCGTTGCGGAGCCACTCCGTGAGCGGAATTAAACAAGACCAGGTTCAACGGCTGGACAAACCGTGGCTTCCGGTCCCACCGCTCATCCTCCATCGCCCACCTTGATCGCGTATTATGAAAATTATGATTGTGCGAACCGTGCGATTTTATCGATTGCCATAGAAAGTGAGGCGGCTTCCGATAACGCAATCGACGACACTCAAGCGTCCGGCAAAACTGATCGCTCGTAATCTAACGACGATCTCAAGTGGCTCGCAGGTGGATCATCGATATTAAATTTTTTTTTTTTGTTATTATTTAAAACACCTCATATCTCAATATTTTTACATTTCGGTATCTTATAGTAAGTTTTGAGTAAAAATTCTGATGTAAAAGTACTCAAATCCGGTTTCATCAGCGCGCGTCTACGCTAACTGCCTCTTTCCACCTCATAACCGTGACTTAAGCAAGGAAGAAGGATTTAGTTATCCACGATTAGCACCAGATACGAAAGTCGAACGAAACTGGACGGCGAAACCGGACTGAGGAAGATGAAGAAAAAGTCATACGTGGGAACTGCGCGACAGTTCCGCAATGGGAGCGTTCAGTTTTTTTCAAGTCATTCATGTTAGATTTCTAAAGCGATATTTATGTACAACGAGATTTTAAGACGTAAGTAAGCTTTTAACCGTAAAAAATTGACCAATTACAATTGAATGTGAAAAGAATAATCGATTATATAATTTTCTACAGCTTAGGACTTAAAGCTTCAGTTTTACGCCTTAAAATCTCATTGCAGTCGTTTTTATACGAAATTCAAATAAAATTCAGATCTCTCGCGAAGCAAGTCTGCGGTTATCGTGATGATGTTAGTTTCGGCAACGCTTTTTCGCGACGTCTCGTCTCGACCGCGACTGTTACGTTCTAAATTACTTGACCGCGTCGACTTGTCACTTGCGGCTATCCGCAGAACCGTCGTCGCGCCATTTTCACGTACGTTTTAATGTCCGGCTATGCTAAACGTCGCGCTGCGAAATTGCCAGGTGTCTCTTCGAGAAACGAGAATGCCTGTCGTTCGGCCACTAATTAATTAACGCGAATCGAAAACACGCTGTTCTCCGTCCCTCTCCCTGTTTATCCTCCTCTACACGACAGTGGTCCCCCGTGGTTCAGGATAAACAGCACACACGTTTACGGTTACCTACGTTAAATTGCGTCGCGGGAAGGAGGAGTCATCGCCGATAATTAGAAAGTAATCGCACCGTGGCTTTTCGCGTGCTCGCTCATCCAGACGGTCCCGGTAGAGAGCGAGAGAGAGAGAGAGAGAGAGAGAGAGAGAGAGAGAGAGAGAGAGAGAGAGAGAGACTATTATCTCGTAAATTGCCGGGTATGTTACACCATCCCGCGCCCCTGAGCCTCGCCTGTGCCCTCGCGACGACGTTGATTAATATCGACAAATTCCTCCACGCATTCGTATGATTATGCCCGTGGCGATATTCCACGGCTATGTTAGTTAACGCTCGTGACGTTACCTCCTGACGTGCGATGACGCGCCGAATATAGTATTATGGCGAAATAAAGATTGCGCGGCGTCGTGCTTATCAAAGACGCGGCGTCTGATAATATGAAATATTTAATACCGATCTAATATTCATCCGGCACCCCGCGTTTCTCGCTCCTTGGCCTGAGCTTCTGGCATTCGTGCGCGAGTACACTGCAACGAGCCGCGCTGTGATCATCTTCGAAATTGCTAGGCAACCCCTACTTCGTGCCGAGACGCAGACCGAGTGTGCTCGCTTGTTAGGATGCTTCGAGAAGCACGATCGCCTCGATCCTGCTTTCAACAAAGACGTCGCGATACGGGTTTCGATGTTCGTGCACGAGTCACAGTAGGCATAGACCGATGTCTGTCGCAGTGAATAAACACAACTGCGAACACTTAGAGACGCAGAGAGAAAAAGGAAATTATATTATTTTAGTCAATGTATACATGAAAAGGACAGTTTTGTTGAAATATCTAAAAATTTAGCTAAATACAAATCTGAAAATAAATTTGCTACCAACCATCAAAATAATTACGTAGGACACTCGAATTGATTGTGTAAAGTGTTAAAACTTTTTGCAGCACTGCTCATCATACTTGAGATTTCTACATAATTATTTTTATGGTCCAACAAAGTTACTTTTAGATCTAAGTAAATTTTTAGATATTTCAGCAAAATCGTTTCCTTTTTTCGTATAAAGATTTTTAGAAAAAAAAAAACTCTTAAAATCTTCTGTATCATAGATTATGTTTTTTTTTTTTCATATTTTAGAAAATCTGTATAGAAAATAAATGTAAACTGATTTAAGCGTTGTAAATTTTTGAGTCCAACATTAAAATGGTGGTCAGATTTAAAATAGGAAACATGTCTGAACATTGAGACATTTTCGTTTTATACGGGTGCAGTGAAGATTTAACATTCTTATAATTATCAACAAATAGGAAGTAGGCCATTTTGAGTACAGATACCTTACATAATTCGTTTATATTTTAGATATTTTGTATATTTGATACAAAAGAATAAGTGTGCTCAGCGTGCTCGCTGCATTCGCCAAGTTTTTCATCCTCTTCTAACCAAAACCATGCATATTTATCGTATCCCCGGTTACATTGCATGCAAATTACAGACGACGTTCGGCTTCGCGGCCCGACTCTTCGTTATTCCGTTCCATTGTCTGCCTACATCCTCTGTTCCCGGATAAATGCCGTCCCGACGTGGTTCACGTGCGTCGCGCTTGTAGACCCGTCCTGAGTCATCCGACGAATTTTTTCACCCATTTACCGTCTAAAACCATCTACGCATACTCAAGATG